CTACTGAATAACCGCATTCTTAGGGCGTTGGACCACACCCCAAACGAACTGTTCTTCGGGATGGTCATTAACACCACCCAGACCGGGGTGGAGGCAGCGTCGGCGGAGATTGCGATGGACGACATCGACGTCCAGCACTCGTACGCGACTCAGCAGCGGTTCGACGGATACGCTCGCGCAGTCAAACACGGGGTAGTGCGGAAGGCGGCGTTCGACCGCCGGGTCATAGACTCCAACGCGGGCGAGGTCGTGTTTGTGCCGGGAGATCTCGTGCAGGTCCTCGACCCCAAGTACAAGAAAACATACCTCACCTCGAAGAAGATCTTGCCGGAGTGGTCAGGCGCTTTCCGAGTCAAGGAACGTCTCTTGAATTCCTATGTCATTGAAACTATTTACGGACAGGAGCTAGCGGGCGAGTACAACTCGCGGCGTCTGCGACCGTTAAAAGCGCCCAAAGGATCCTCACTGGAGGCGTACCAAGCGGCGCGTAATGGAGGCGCAACGAGCGAGGAGGCGCTGGCTATGGTGGGGCCGGCGGTCCTGGAAGAACCAGAGCCCAGTCGCGAGGAGGAGAGCGCGGCGCACGCAGAAGATGCCAGGAGGCAGCGGATGGCCGAGGAAGACGACGACGGATGGGTTGACGAAGAGGAGGAGGCTACGTCGATTGGGCAGAGGTTGAGGGCAAGGAAGTCGAGGACGCAGGCAACGAGGACGTTGCCTAGAGGAGGGGGGTAGATGTGGTAGTTGGAGGTAGCGCGCGTGGGCGTGTTTGGCAGGAGGCTTCAGCGTTTCGGTCCCCATTCGGACAGTAGATCAGACAATCTCATCTTCTTCTTCTCGATTCTCTGTCGAGGCTCGCGAGCGCGTTGGGCAGCCTAGCCCAAAGCGCAAAAAAAAATACAATTTTATCCACCTGTATGGGCAACCTGGGGGCCCAAGAATACTCAAGAGTCCTAGCTAGGGGAATCCAAAGTATATCGATAATGTACACTAGAATACAGCAAGGCATAACACACCTAGCAAGGGGAGTCCGAAGAGAAGAAACTCTGAGGATTCCGAGGCTAGAGCCATTCGCGATAAAGCACGGCTATCATCCAGGCCTTGGCGTTGCTGTGGTACAAGAAGCCCAATTCACGGCCGAATTTCTTGTTGAATGCTCGGGGGTGTTCTGCTTTCCCAATGACAAACGGGGGCAGCTTCTCCGAGCCGTCGGCGTTGGTCGTAAGGGCGTACATGAGACACTTCTTCACGCCCTTGACTCCAGACATCTGCCGGTCCATGAGACCGCGATCCGGCGGCATCCTGTTCATCAGGTCATGGTCAGCTCCATTCATTTGGGTGTGAGGAAAGGTCTTACGCCCAGAACAAGCCCGTTTCGTCCATGTTGAAGATGTCCCGGAGGGCATACCCCTCGTGGAAAATCAAGTCTTGAATTCGCTTTCTGTCCGCTTCAATGTCCGCCAGATTGGCAGAATCAGCCTCGCCGTGGCGCTTAAACTCCTTCAGTCCGCACCGCTTCTTCAGAGCTGCCAGCCAACCATCACTCAACACCAATCGGTCCTCCTCGGGAATGCCAACAAGATCGGCAAAGAGAGTGCATTTGGCGCGAAGAATCTCGCTGCTGAGATGGACACGGCCATGCATGGCCTTGGCAATCCAGAGCACGAGCATCTTGTCGACCTCCAGGTGCTCGACTTGCTTGACGCGCTTTGCATTGACCGCTCGGCCCTGCTGCTCTGCCTCGGCCCAACACTCCCGCCACATCTTCTCGTCCTTCAGCCACGAGGATATGAGGGCTGCTTCAGGCAGAGGTTCGGATAAATGGTATTGAAGTGTTTGGCGGTCTTGCTCTGGCTCGGCTTTGACTGCTCGTGATGCCAATCGAGAATTTCGATGCGCTGCTTTAATAAAACATTCTCCTTCTTGGTGAACACCGGAGCAGCGGCCGACTTTTGTTTTGTTGCATCGGGCTTCTTGCGATCGTCAGGTCTTAAACCGAAATTTATTTCCCCGCCATCCCGCGACGTTAGAGGGAGACACACTTTTCCGCTTATTGTTTTTGACCGCCTCGGAAACTTTCTGTCCCACCTCCCCCGCAAGGCCCTTCAGTTTCTCCACCAATCCAGCTTCATTTGAATTGAGACATGAGAGGCCGCGCTCGTAATCCGAGGCATTTTCGAGCTTCTGTATCACGGCATCTTCGTTGACTTGATTCCCGTCGTTGTCCAGCCAAGCCTTGTCTGCCGGGGAGAGCTTCTCTTCCTTTTTGAGACGCGCCAAAAGTTTGGTCCGACGTTCTTTGACAGAGTTCTTGAGCGCGGAAAGCCCTTTTTTCAATATTTCGAGCGATGGATGTGGCGGTATGAGGGCAAAAGCACTGCCAAACAAATATAAATAAACATTGATAGGGGGATTTCTGCCCGAGAAAAGCCATGGGTTATGGAGTTTCAAAAAGTTATGGCTTTTAAGCTTGCACACACTTGGTGGACACCAAAAAGGTATGGAGTTTTACAGATTATGGGTTACAATGGCTATGGGTTAAGACAGCTTAGACTGTAGAGGTCAGTCCTCCTCTCTACGAATCGGTCATACGCTTACCAACTCTCCCCGAAGGGGTAGCTCTGGGTAGGCAGCAGCTGTGTTGTTTGTTACATCTTCAGCACGGTTTTCATGACAATTGTTGCAGCTATCCAAGTCCCACCTCGACCCCTCCCTTCGCGCTTTCAGAAAGGTCGTGATGGGTTGCTGTACTTTATTGAAGCAGACTGGAAAACTCAGCCCTGCGTCCCGAAGAGCAAAGTCTGGTGGCTCATGTGCTGGATTCATGAGTCCGCTCACAAGAGCGCTCACGCCGGACCCCTCAAGTTTGCTCTGCGCATGCGGGAGTTGTTCTTTTGGTCGTCTATGCGCAAAGACCTCGACTCAAATGTGACGTGTGCCAGAAGATCAAGAACGACCACAGGCAGAAGATGGGGGGCTTGAAATTCATTGAGCTCGAGGAAGACTAATGAAATCGAAGATATAAATACTTCTTGCTGTTGTCGCAGGACGCGAACTTCAAGCTCATCAATCGGAATGTTTTGACCACGGAGCACGACCCCATTGTCGACGATGGCACCGGCTATTTCTGCAATCGGGCAGATTACGCGGAGCACATCCGCAAGCACGTTGACGAAGAAGAAATTTCCAGTTGTTCGGGATTCCAGGGTATGTTCCTCGTGAACGCCAAGCGCGTCAGGGGCCTGCGGGTAACGGGGGTGGGCGGGGTGACGTGCACGCGTCATAACATGTGGCAGCCAAACGGCCTCGGGGATCTGCACACCTGCTAAGCCCACAATTTATGTGGATCTGCAAGTTGGGGAGCGGTAAATGTGATGCAAGCGCGGTTTCGTTGACGCTGATTGGTCGTAGGTATTGCAACATGGATTTCCTGTTCTTGTCGGCGGTCCTGAACTTCGCGCTGGCGTGGCTAGTCCTGTCCTACGACATCGCCTGCCAGTTCTCCAAGAATATCTGGGCGCGGATGGAGGGGCTACCTAGTAGATATCACCTGAACATCAGCCGCCTGAACGTTAGGTGGATGGTGCCTAACTTTCATCTCCCACCCCACAAGAAGGGCTGTCACTCACCGTACTTGTTCCATTGGTTGTGGGTGCATGCACGGGGAGACAGTGGAGCAAAATTGGGAGTTCCTGAACGGCGCCGCGGCCGCGACACAGTTGATGGGTTTGGGTGCTCGCAACACCGCCCTGGAGGGCCTGTCTGCATTCCACAACTGGCGGCGGCTGGTAGCGCATCGTATGTCGCGACAATTCATGTTTCTATGCATACTAACTGATATACTTACTAGGGCTAATCTTGAAGAGAAGGATGGCGGAAGGGATCAAGGAGGGGAGGTCGCACAAGGCGTCGTTCGAGGCCTTCAGCGCGGGCTTGACAGCCGCGATGCCAGAGGCGGTGGAGGAGTGGAGGGGGTGGGTGGAGAAGTGGGAGACGACAGCGCACATCGAGAAAGAGAAGAAGTCGCCGTATGAGTATGCTGAAGAAAGTACGTCACGTCAACAGGAAGTGATGATTGCAATTAGGCGCTAACGTTGTCCTCAGAGAAGACACTGAAGAATATACGACTAAAGCTGGCGAGGGAAGAGTACGATCGGACAGGGGACAGGGTGGAGCTGGGGCGCGAGGAAACAGCAAGCACCTTTTTGTCCATGGGAATGGAGATCGAGGAGGGACAGTACGTGCCAGCAAACGCGATATGAATGTAGGCTAACCAGAGAGACAGACCACATCTTGCGCACCTGCCACTACCAAATATCTAAGGTAATTGCCTAGACTTTGTACCCCCTAAACTCTTGGAGCTTACCTTGCGCCTTGCGGGCGGTCACCCCCGCAGCGTCTCCGCGGCCCTAAGAGGGTATATTGGGGGTACATGTACACTCTACCGACGCCTTTGGCGAGGGAGGGTATACATGTAGTATGTTCCTGCGGTGGTCGGTAGACGCGACCCGCGCAGGGTGTACATGTAGGTGTTTCGGGTGGTGCTGGGTAGACGTCCAGGCGGTAGGGTGTACACGAGTGACCTGAGGGTGTACATGTCATATGTGCTCACGGTAGGGTAGACATATCGAGTTGATGGTACACCTATACGTGCTTGCGATGGTGATGGGTAGACCTCTAGCCGGTAGGGTGTACACAAGTGACTTGCGGGTGTACATGCCATGCGTACTCACCGTAGGGTAGACATTAGAGCGGTAGGGTGTACACAACTGACTTGTGTGTACATGCCATATGTACTCACAGTAGGGTAGACCTTAGGGCGGTAGGGTGTACACAATAAACTTGATTATACCTCTACACTAAAAGTACAGCTACGGCACCCTAGGAGGCCCCCCTGTCTTGAGGAGAGGAGGACGGGGCAATAGAAATCATAGGGAAAGGTCAGCTGAACGATAGAAAGGCAAGGGCAGGTGAACAAAAAATGCTGAGCTGGCACATCAAGCCCTCGGCCGGAATCGAACCGACGCGGCCTACATAAACGGATACGTCGTCACAGATATGTAGGTGCGCTACCACTGCGCCACAAGGGCTTTGAATGTTAGGGAGCAGTACAGACCACATCACACACCTTCTCATATGAACAGTATATAGATACACTGTTATTCTAAGGTAGACACATTTCACAGTGTGCACGGTGGAGGGTAGACAGTTCACATTGAGTCTACTACAACAAGAAAAGGAACAGCATATAGAGAGTAGTCCAAGTAGTAGCAATGTATAGGAATTTGAGGCGCGCGATCGAGATATGCAATGTTAAAAAAAAAACCCCGCGGCTGGGAGTGTTCGACTAGTCCTCCTCGCCGTCACTCTTCTGCTCGAGGATCTGCTTCAGCGACTGAGGGTTGTATGAGGATCCGAAGGTGAGGACGGGGGCGCTGGTCGACGCGACAGCGTTCGCGTTGGGCACGGGCGGGAGGGCGCTGGTCGAGGTCGACGCGACGGGGGCGCTGGTCGACGCGACAGCGTTCGCGTTGGGCAGGGGGGCGGCGTCGGACCTCACGAAGTTGAGGGGACGGGGCCCAGGGCAACTGACGCCGCTGCCGGATGCGACCTTGCGGGGGGAGACAGGGCTGAGCTGCGCCTTCTTCTTCTTCTTCGCCTCCAGGGCAAGGCGCTGGCGGTTCCGGTGCGCGAGGTCCACCAACTTGAGGTACTGCTTGGAGCGCCTGGGCGCGTAGGGAAGGGTGCCCGCTGGCCGCATCGGCTTCCCTGCGAGGTCCAACACGACCTCGTCGTCGCCACCGGATCCCGACTCGTTCTCGCGTCCCGACCCTTCCTCGTCGTCGTCGTCGCTCGCCTTCGCCGCCTTCCCCTTCCCCTTCCCCTTCCCCTTCGCCTTCCCCTTCCCATTCTTCGCCCCCTCCCCATCCGACTCCTCATCCGACTCTCCCGACGATTGAACAGCCTTCCCCCCTTTCTTCTTCTCCCCCCCGGGCACCCACTCCTCCTCGTCGTCATCGGAGTCGACGAACTCGCGACTTTTCTTCTTGGACCCGCCCCCGGACGACTCGTCGTCGCTGTTGCTGTCGTCGCATTTCCTCTTCCCCGTCGTCTTCCTCGTCCTCGTCTTCACCGTCCTCCCCTCCCTTTCACGCTCCCGCTGACGATGCCGCGCCTTCTTCTCGCGGTTGAGCTTGCGTCGGTGCGCCGCCAGCTCCTCCGGGTCCAACTCGGAAAGCTTCGTGCGCCGCTTTTTCTTCTTCACCCCCTCGCCACCGCCCTCGCCGCCGCCCTCCCCCTCATCCTTGCGCCCCCGCTTCTTTGACTCCGCCTCCTGTTCCCGCAGCGCCTTCGCCTCCTCCCGCGATAGTCCCTTGTCCTTGCGCGGCCTCTTGGGGGGCTTGGGCGCCGCTGCCCGCTTCGCCGCAACCGCAGCCTTGTGCTCTGCAAGTCGACTTTCCCCCATCTTCTCCCAACGGCACGAACCGGCCGTTAGCGCGTCATAGAGCGTGCGGAGCTTCTCGACGGTGCCGAGGTCGCTGGGAGGAAGGAAGGGGAGGTCCGACGGCCAACCCAAGAGCTCCACGCCGTGCCTGGATTCAATGTATTAGTTTTGGTGATCACGGTGGTAAGGGGTACATAACGGTGGAGGGTAGACATAACGGTGGAGGGTGTACGTGGAGATGGAGGGTAGACATAGCGGTGGAGGGTGTACGTGGTGGGGTGGTGGGGCGGACATAATGTACGAGGGCGTACATCATGTTTGGGGGAGGGAAGGTGGGGGAGGGGAGGGCAAAGGTGGGTACTTACTCGGTAACCAGGTCGTCGTAGTCGCCGTACTTCATGTGGATGGTGGGCTTGCCCGTCGCTCGGCCTATTGAGTTGTTAGTTAAAAATTCACTTGATTTTGTTGATTTCGCACGTAGCCCTTCCGCAATTGCGGCGATTGTACCCTTTCGAAGCGCAGCGAAGGACAAGCCCATTGCGCCCGCGATCTCGTTGATCGTGTAGTTGTCGAATTTTATAGCGAAATTGATGAATCCCTTTAAAGATGGTACCATTCAAGTAATGATGCAGCTGCCACTTTATACCGTTAATGTGTGTGAGTATCAGATACTTACCTCGTTGTTCATCCGTTTCGTGAACGCGGTAACATCCTTCGCAGCCGCTGCGTTGTCGAGCCGTGTGCCGCACCTCTTCACCCCCCGCGACTCCTGAAACTCGTCCAGCAGGAGGTTTTCCTCGGTCTCCGTCAGGTCTTGGAAGCGCCCCTCCTTGAGCATCAAGTCCTGGACCGCGGGGGCCTTGAGCTTCGATCCGCGCGGACGGTCTATACAGTAGTAACGTTAGTAAACAAGGCTTTGTTTGTTTGTGGGCGCTCGCTTACCTGCGTTGACCTCCAGCGAGAACTTCCACACTTTGGCGTTCTGGAGGTTTCGCAACCTCTGGGCCGCGAGACTTGTTTTCCCCCGCAGCGCCTTCTTCACTACTTCGACCTTTTTCTCGAAGCGCTTGGACAGCGTCTCCGCCGTGGTGTTCAACAAAAAAGCCCAAACTCCGCTATCGCCGATTCGTAGGTCTCCTTCGTCTTCCTGTTCAAGTCGCGCTGCAGCGACTGGGAGTTCTTCTCGGCGGGGGTGAGGTCCGGCTTCGCCAAAGGGTCCTCCGGCGGCTGCTGCAGGGCGCCGGGGTTGCGCTCCCTCCAGGACCCGCCGTCCAAGCCCAGCAGCACATTGGAGGGGTCTGCGTGGGGGTTGGCCGCGTGCGACTTGGCGCGCTCGGGGGTTTTGGCGCGTTCGGGGGTTTTGGCGCGCTCGCCCTCGCCCGCCGGCGTCTTGGCGCGTCCGTCGCTGCCGTCGGGGTTGGGGTTTGCGGGCGACTTGGCGCGCTCGGGGGTTTTGGCGCGTTCGGGGGTTTTGGCGCGCTCGCCCTCGCCCGCCGGCGTCTTGGCACGTCCGTCGCTGCCGTCGGGGTTGGCGCGCTCGGGGGTTTTGGCGCGCTCGGGCGACTTGGCGCGCTCGGGCGTCTTAGCAGGAGGTGGAGGGGGCGCGTCGCCTTCCCCGCCCGCCGGCGTCTTGGCGCGTTCGCCGCTGCTGTCGGGGTTGGGGTTCGCGTTGGTCTCGAGGGGAGGAGGCGGAGGGGGCGCGTCACCTTCCCCGCCCGCCGGCGACTTGGCGCGTTCGCCGCTGCCGTCGGGCTTGGGGTTCGCGTTGGTCTTGAGGGGAGGAGGTGGAGGGGGCGCGGTCACCTTCTCCGCCCGCCGGCGACTTCGCGCGCTCCTCGACGGGGGTCTTCGCGCGCTCCTCGACGGGGGTCTTGGTGCCCTCCTCCTCCTCGTCGCGCTCTTCCAAAGGGTTCTCGAGGTCGGGGTCGTCGTCGTCGCCTTCGGGCACGAGCGAGTCGTTGTCGTCGTCCGGGTTGTGGGCGATCTGGTCGATGTCCTCCGGGACGAGCAGCTTCTTGGGGGGGCGTTTTTTGACCTTGATCATGGCGGCGACTTTCTGTTTGGCGGGCGCCACCTTTTGTGCTCGGGCGCGAGTGACTGGCGCTCGTGTCGTTTGGGAACGCCGTTGCATGTCTGTGTGGATGATAAGGTCAGATTTGTTTCTCGTCGCGGAGCGGTGGCATACCTGATATACGAAGTTCTGGTGGTGAGGTCGTGGTGGTGAGGTCCTGGTGGTGGTACACAAGAGTGTTTGGTTTGTTCCATCAACAAACAAGGGCACGTGTGTCTATGGTTCAACCGAGGAAGGTACCCTCCACCGCGGTCAAAATGTCTACCCTATTGAAATTGGTGCGCACAAGTCCATTTCTTGTCTACCCTGATGTTTTGTCTACCGTTAAAAAAAACAAGATCGTATTCAGCGACGGTATATACGTATATACAGGGAGCAAGAATATATTGTGAGTACCCAATCTACTTGTCGTCGCGAGGCTGGTTTTCACAAGTAGGGTCGAAATCGTCCTCCGGCGAAACCCAATCCTTCAACGTCTCCAAGAGCTCCGCGTCCTCGTCGCCTTCCAGGGCCGCGTAGAGCGCGTCGCTCTCGTTCCCATCGTCGGCGGACCGAGCCTTCCCCTTCCACTTCCCCAGCCCCAACCTCTTCTTCTCCGCCTCCCAAGCCATAATCGCGTTGGGCTTGGCCGTGCTGGGCCGGGACTTGCTGGTGGACGCGGGAGGGGCGGTGGCAGGACAACGAAGGCGACACCTTTGACGGCGACGACGCCTTCGACGACAGCTTCGTCGGCGTCGGCGGCAGCTGATCAACGGCGGCCTTCATCGCAGCCTTTTCCATCGTCGTCGAGAAGCGCTGGATGACGCGCAGACGCTCGCGCGCGTCCTTTTCTTGCACCTGGCTGTCCTGGCGGGTGCGGGCGTCAACGCCGGCCTGGATAGCGGCGAGGCGGGCCCGGGAGGCAGCAGATCGCTGCCGCTCCTGCTGCTCCTGCTGCTGCGGCGCACTTGGGGCGTTGCGAGACGCGCGGGGGCTCACGCCATAGGCGAGATCCCCGCCAGGGAGGACCTCGGGGGGGCTGAACTCCTCGCCATCGGCGGGAGCGAGACTGACACCTGCGAGCTGCTGTGCCTCATATTCGTCAGCACCGCGGGCAAAGAAGAAGGCCTTCGAGTACACTGGTTAGTCCGTTGTCAAAGACAGTTCACTGACATACCTTGAGGTAGCTTCGAGTCGCAATAAGTTCCGCGGGCCCCGACTCCGCGCTGCGCTTGTAATGGAGCAAAGCGGACTCCAAACCACTGTAGATCACGTCGCCGCCACGCACGGCAAAGTGGAGATCCCGGAAGTGGGGTGACTCGGGGTTGAAATCCACAGCAGGTCGAGGGTTGGGGGTTTGGGGCTCAGCAGGATGGTTGTGGTCTCCGAGGCGGCAGTGCGCGTGCCAGGCGGGATAACACCCCTCCTGGGAGTCGAAGAAGATGGCGCCAGCGTTGTTCACGCCTTCGCACACCGAGGAGCACGCCTCCCTGTGGAATCGCTATCAGCACAAGAGGCAGCAAACGACGAAAACAACTCTATTCGCACCAAGAAGTATATATCCCAGGCCCTGGGGCATGGGCATCTTGGCTGAC